CAAACGCCCCTGGGGACCGGTCCGGGCCCGCGGACCGGCGGTTGGGGACCCCTGACTTAAGGAATAAAAATGGTTTGAAAGTTGGTGTCATGTCACAATAACATGACAATGCTGTTTGATATCTGCAGGGGGCTGGTATTGAGATTTATCCTGGCAGTGTGTGCACTCTGGTCGGCAACGGCATCCACCATTGTAAGGATGGAATTCTCATCAAGATGAATCAACCGATGGTGGGTGGACAAGGATATAAACCTGTGAATTGTCGCCACACGTGTTGGAGTACAGCGACAAAGTTTGATGTTTGCCATCGTGCATCAAATCACTCCGGCGCTTAGATCCCATCCAAACAAATATTGTTAATACAGTGATCCCTCGCTACTTCGCGGTTCGTTTATCGCGGGTTCAGTGCATCGCGGATTTTTTCAAACATATTAAAAAATATATATAAATAACTGTATATGTTGCTCTATGTGACTCGCTGTTGTTTTGCAGCTTCTCGCGGACCGTTTGCGGACTTGGAAAAAAAATCTATATTTTTTTTACCTGTTTATGTTAATTGGACGTTACTTTGCGGATTTTCGTTTATCGCGGGTGGTTTTGGTCCCCATTAACAGCGATAAACGAAGGATTACTTTACTGCCTTTTCTTTAGTGGCGCACATTTCCAACATTCTTTGTAATGCGGGGTTCAGGCCGAACGTGAAATATCGTTTTGCACCGCATGTCTTTCGTGTTTGTCTGGCGGGGGGGGGGATTACGGGGAGGTTTGTTTCACGTGGAGAAAGAAGGAGGGCCGCCACCTCCTCATCCGACAGAATAAAAAAATGTTTGAATATCATGGGGCAGTCAAGTGGCCGGAAGTGTTGCGAAAGCTTCGGCTAATTCTACAGGCGCTGCCTTGGTTGACAGTTCAACAGCAGTAAACTTTATTTGCCTGGACATGTCCATTTTTTTATTTATTTATTTATTTATTTTTTACGCATTCATCCTGGCGTCAGGAGGAATTTTATAAATTCATGATAATGTCTGGCTTTAATTGTTTTTCATGGGGCCGTTTAGCATGTGTTTAATTTGACTGACGTTTTGTGTGACAAATGACAGGCAGAGTGCACCGTGTTGTTCCGGACGGGTTGTGTGTGTGTGCGTGTGCGTGTGCGTGTGCG